TTAACAGTGCAACATGTAACAGGAAGCTAAGTAACACACTTTTAGGATGATATTAAAATTTAGGCAGTAGAAATATTATCAATATTATTGTTTTAGTATCTTTAGGACAGCATTTTTTATATTATTAGAAGGTGTGATCTCTGTCTTCTTATGAATTTAACTGATATATACAATTAAAAAAAAGTTTCCTAAGATAATTGCATAGGTTTGGGGTAGGTAAAAATATATGGAAGAGAAGCAGAGCATTAAAGGGTGTGAGAAAGGAAGAAAAAAAAATCATACCCAAGGATGAAGAGAAACTTGTGGAAGAAAAATTAGTAAACTTCATTTGGTTTAGCATAATTATTCCTTTTCTAAGGCTTTAAAATAGCACATGACCTTTTTCCTAAGGCACTTAAGACTTAGAGGCACATGAGTGATTTTCATGGCCTTGTAAGTTTCTAGGAGATTTTAATTCTCTAAGACACAACAAAATCCCAACAGATACTCATTTTTATATGACATTGGGAGTATGGCATGTGGGGTATTTCATGGAAGAAAGAATTAAACCCTCCAGCAACCTCTCCTGAAATTGTGTGGTTGATGGAACAGAAAAACAAGAATAAGTACAGGGATAAAAATGTAAAAATATCACTCCTAAGCTCTATTTAAGGTAGATAAAATCTAATCAGACAAAAGCGTCGGGAAACATATATATCATGGTTTAATAAAGGTTGCCTCTGAGAGACATGATTGTGAAAGCTTTTATAAAATCCAGCTTAGTAGTGGTCAAGGACATAGATACAAAAAACAACTCTGATCTGGGTTTCAGTCTTAAGCTTTGTTAACGAGAAAACCCTGGCTAACCAATGAGGATCTAAGCGATATTCTACAATTCCCAAGGCATGATTCTCGCTGCATTCAGAGAGCAGCACTTATATCACTATGAGTGCAAAATGTTAACAATAATATATCTACCATATAGAAACTTTATGAAGACTACACAAAAAAATGAGTAAAAAGTCTGTGATTGGATGATGTTGTTGTGAAGTGAAAGTACCTATGTATTAGGTTTTCTGAGATGATTAAATGAAATATTCAATAAGATATTCGATACATTCTAAATTCAGTTCGATTTTTGTTATGTGCATCCAGTTGCCTGTGGCTCACTGTAATACTGTGTACAATGACTCACTGTGATACTATGTACAATAACTCTCAATCTTGCCCTATCCTGAGGCAGTCTCACTGTCTGCAACACACCATCCTCATTATCCCAGTTGCTGTGTCAATCTAACTCATTCATGGCCTTCCTTTCCTGAGCTGACCTTTCACTCTTTCAAGCATGATGTCTTTCTCTATGGACTGGTCCCTCCTGGAAACATGCCCGAAGTATATGAGATGGAGCTTCAAAATCCTTGCCTACAAGAAGCAACATGGTTTAAAACTCTCCAGGAAAGTGCTGTTTGTTCTTTGGCAGTACACTGTATGTTCAATATTCTTCTCCAGAATCAGAACTCAAAAGTATTAATTATTCATTGTTCTGGAGAGGTCCCTGAGAACAGACTTTCCCAGTGCAATTTATCTAGTGTTTACATTTTCTCACTATCTTGTACAACTTTAAAAAAAAAATTCTCACACTATTTTTGTAATATGAATTGACATCAACAAAAACCAATAAAATACTGACTATAGAAAAGTGTGGAGTTTGTCATTCAAAATGACTTTTCTAGCCAATGAATTAACTTTGCCAAGTGGGTGGGCAAGAATATGTGAATAGGGTGTGGTCCTATCCACAAGGGGATTGGTTACCTCACCAATCCACACAGAATTGGCTAGTCTCACCAATTCACAAGGAAAGATGGCTAGTCCCACCATTAAATTGAGTGGATCAAGAAGTAGAAGGGCCTTTCTACGAAGATGGCGCCGAAAGCCAAGAAGGAAGCCCCTGCCCCTCCCAAAACTGAAGCCAAAGCAAAGGCATTAAAGGCCAAGAAGGCAGTCCTGAAGGGCGTCCACAGCCAAAAAAAAAGATCTGCATGTCACCCACCTTCCGGCGGCCTAAGAAGTTGAGACTCCAAAGGCAGCCCAAATACCCCTGGAAGAGCACCCCCAGGAGAAACAAGCTTGACCACTAGGCCATCATCAAATTTCCCCTGACTACTGAGTCAGCTATGAAGAAGATAGAAGATAACAACACACTTGTGTTCATTGTGGATGTCAAGGCCAACAAGCACCAAATTTAAAAAGCTGTAAAGAAGCTCTATGACATTGATGTGGCTAAGGTCAACACGTTGATTAGGCCTGATGGAGAGAAGAAGGCCTATGTTCGACTTGCTCCTGATTATGATGCTTTGGATGCTGCCAACAAAATTGGGGTCATCTAAACTGAGTCCAGCGGGCTAATTCTAAATAGAAATTTTTCTAAAAAAAAAAAAAAAAAAGAAGCAGAAGGAAGATCTTACACCATTGGGGAACCAATGAATGCAACTCATTCTTCATTATGGCAGACACACTAGGGTGGCTTTCTGAAGCAGCTGCAATGGCAGCCAGAGTCGTGACATAAGACGGGGTCTTGGAATTGCTGCATCATTGGACCAGAGCTAAGAGCTTTTTGATCAAGTTTGTTGTTGCTGGGGAAGGAAGAGCCAATATGGGCAGGACTAAGAACTTGTAAAACTGGCCTAAACACGATTGTGAGCACATTTCGGAAGCTGTACTGACTGACTTTATTCTGCTACAAATTGGAATATAAACTTTTGATGTCCCCAAAATGTTTCTGTGTGGTCTCTGAGCGACAAAATTGGATTTTGTACCCAGTAAAGTAGGAAGATTGGTGTCGAGAGGAGTTGAAAGATGTATAGGAGTATGACGGACATGTCTGACCTCACAGGAATTGGTTTTGTGTGGTTCATACTATTGGCAGGGACAGTTCCCCTTTGTGAAGTTGGTAAAGGCCAGAGATGGCTGTCCCCAGATTCTCACTGAGATGGGATGACATAGTGAATGCAGCATTGGGATCAAGTATATCAGAAATGGTGAAGACAGCACTGGATAAGAGAAGATTCAGGTCTGATTTTCATAAGGTCGCTATGAGTCATACTTGATTCAACGGTACCTAACAACACATGGCCCTTACTCTTTTTACAAAGAGCTTTAGTCTACAAGGAATTGCACTATTAATACAAAATCAGCATTTTCCTGGTGATTTGAAATTACCAGTGGCTCTACAAAAAACCTCAAACCAAACCAAAACAAACCCAAAACCAACCAACCAAACAACCAACCAACCAATAGGCAATCTCCTCTCACACTATTTACAGACTCATAAGCTCACTGGCAGGTCAGCAAGGGCTTTTTGAGTTTGAGTTTGACAATAAGTAGTGAAGCACTGGGGGTTGGAAAAGATAACTTTGTCCACATAGTTACAGATAACCTTTCTTAGATTTTGCCAATATTTAATAAAAAAGTACAAGTAAAGGTAAGACTGACTGGATCTATTAGCATTATCTACGGAGTTTACTAAGTCCTTGGGCAGTAAAAATGGTTAATGTACTGAGTTGACAACTTGGGATTTGAGGCTTGAGTCCATTCAGAGATGTCTCAAAAAATTTTCAAAAAGGTCTAGTAATCTACATATGAAAAATCAGCTATTGGAAACAATATGGGACATAATTCTACTTACAGGACTTTCATTATTTTGAAACAGCTCAAACAGCAGCAGGTTTGGTATGAGGTTTATTTGAAAGATAGAGTACAATAAAATGTACATCTTTCAAATGGAATGTGAAATGGCATCTCCTTCCAATGAGAGGCCAAGGCTAATTCTTCTTCCTCAAACCACGCTAACTTTAGTGGCTTCCTTCACGAAGACAACATATCAGAAGTGACATTCTGGCACTTGCAAGGCTAGGCTACAAAATGCCCTGCAACTTCTGCTCCCAGACTTTTAGAAGCTTCACTCTGAGGAAAGTAGCTGTCATGAAAGAACTCTGACTACCTGAGACCAACCACACTGTGATGTCACCAAGGTAACTACATTGTGGTGGTGGTGGTGGTGTGTGCTGTCGAGTCAGAACTGATCCACAGCTGACCCTCTAGTGGGTCTTCAGAGGCTGTTAGTCACGTGAAACTTGTCCATCCTTCTCCCAAAGAGCAGCAGGTAGATTCAAACTGCATGACTTTGGGACTGGAACACTATTGCTTTCGAGTAGGCTGCCAGAGCTTTCAAGATTACCACATAAATGAACCACGGAGCCAGAGAGAAAGATGGAGAAATCTGATCAAACAGGTTTTTGTCATCTTAGCTAAGATAGCAGAAGCACAAAAATCATTTTGGGTCTATTCCAGTTCAAGCAGGTATGACATGGAGAAGAATGAAAAAGTCCAGCTGAGCAATGAAAATGGAATTTAAAGCCCCAGAGCCATCCTCAGCTAATGTCCCAGTCACCTTCATTATTTATTTCAACCAGGATGAGGTCCAATTGCAGAGAAGAAACATGTAATTCTCACTGTACTTTGCTTAAATTCCTGACCGAAATCGTGTTGTTTAATGCCTTTTAAGTTTGAGAAGGCTTGTGATGCAGCAATCACTAACTAGAACAGACCTACTGGTTTTCAACCAAATAGATGCCAGATACATTTATGCTGATTTATTGATTTTCTTCCTTTCCAATCATAAAACTTCGTGGAGAGAGACATCATGCTTGGGAAGTGGGAGGGGTGGCAAAGTGGGTTGACACAGGGACTGCAGCAATGGGCTTGAGTGTGTCAAAGATTGTGAGGGTAACATAGCATAGTACAGTGTTCAGATAGGTTGTTCATAGGGTCACTATGAGTCGTACTTGACTTGATGGCAACTAACAACAACAACAGCCACAAGTCAATCATGTACAAAAATTGGACTACATATAAAATCACAAAATCTTCCATCATCAATGTCTAAAGCAGAAGCAGTAAACTCATATGAAAAGATTGTAATTTTTCCCCTCCTAAATGTCATATCCTGGATATATTCTTACCAAAGCAAACTCATGAGATATCCTTCCATCTGGAGGCAGTTTTGCACCAAATCCTAGAGCTGGGAACATTTTGTCACTGTCATAATCTTGAACAATTTCTCCCACGGCTTTCAGAGCCATACCATAAGCATTCAGTTGGTAAGGATTCATGTAATGGAGAGAAGTGGGCTGAGCAGGATTACCTGAAGACACAGAAAATAGTTGAAACACAGCTGATAAGGCTAAGAAGATTTCCCCCCCCTTTTTTTCTCCGCTTGTTGTACATTTCTGAATGAAATATCTAGAATTATATTTTTATTGTACTCAAAGTTCATTAAACACTTTCTTTTGGAGGAGATAGTGCATCTAGATATCATTATATTATATTAAACATGTGCAAAGCTTTCCAAAGATAAGCTAAATCAAATGCAGACCTTCTCAGAAATAATTCTTCATTGTCAGTGTTATAGGCTCTCTGTGGTTTTAATTCTAGGAAAAGCATAAAAGTACTTTGTGTAAATCTTATTTTATTATCTTTACTTCAAAAAAATTATGTGCCTCAAAGTTTAAATATGTATACCTATAGTCGGAGGACCTGACTTGACTGAACAGTCTTCTATAATTACAAGGCCTTCTTAAGTATTTAAAAACAAATGGAATATTTTAGATATATCCTAATTTCTCACTTCAAAAAATGGTCATTATGAAGATTTTAAAATTTAAGCCGACTTAAAAAAATAGATCTGATATTTTTCCAGTTTCTAATTAGGCAATCAGGAACCAGGATATCCAAAGTTGAATTCTTAATTTGTAGGATAAAAAGAAACCAAAATTATTGTAGAGAATCTACTACTATTTCTACTAAAGAGCTCTTGAGACACAGTGCTATGGTTTAGGTTGCTAAAAAAAAAGTGATTGGAATCCATCAGCTGTTCTACAGATAAAAAGATGGGCAATCTCCACCCATAAAAATTTGCAGCCTTGTAAATGCATAGGAGAGTCACTGTGTTAGAATCACCTAGATGGCAGCAGGTCTTATCTAGTATTTACTGAGAGGAAAAAATAAGACTATCTGTGTAAAAGTGGCTTAAAATAATAAAGTATCAGATGAAAGGTTTAGCTATTACTATTATTGTCAGCATTGACTGAATTTTCAGTGTAGGTCGTTGTACATGACTGGAGATTAAATTTGAGAAAGTAATGTATGTGCTATCATTCAAACACATCGAGATTCACATTGTTAGAATTAGTTTTGCTCTAATTACCACTACAAAGGCAGACTGAACAACTCTTTGGTTTCTTAAGCAAAAACGGAAAGTTAAATGTAATTTGTAATAGCACATGTTGTGGTGGTTGTTATGTGCGGTCGAATCGCTTGAGACTCATAGTGACCCTATGTACAGCAGGCATAAACTCCACTCTGTCCTATGCCAATCACATTGTCTCTGACACTCCCATCCCTATTACCCCAGTCACTGAATCAATTCACCTCATAGAGGGCCTTCCCCTCCTGCGCTGTCCCTCCACCCTCCGAAGCATGATGTCCTTCTCCAAGGACTGGTCTCTCCTTACAACATGTCCAAAGTATGTTTGATAGAGCCTCAGAATCCTTGCCTCCAAGGAGTCACCAGGTTTAACCCTTTCCAGGATGAATCTGTTTGTTTTCCTAGCAGTCCATGATACCCTCAATACTCTTCTCCAGCAACACAGCTCAAAGGCATCAATTCTCCTTCTGTCCTCCTTGGTCATTGTCCAACTCTCTGATGCATAACAAGTGATTGCAAAGACCATGGCCTGAATCAGATGCACCTTAGTCTCCAGAGAGACACCATTGCTCTTGAGCATTCTGGAGAGGTCCCTAACAGCAGACTTTCCCATGGCAATGCACCTTTTAATTTTCTGGCTTCTGGTGCCAAGAGTGTTGACTGTGGAGCCAAGCAAACGAAAGCTGTGAGCAATCGCAATTTCTTCACCATCCATCCTGATGCTGCCAATTGGTTCAGTGGTGAGAATATTTGTCTTCTTGACATTGAGCCTCAATCCATATTGGAGACTGCAGTCCTTGACCCTTTACAGCAAGCGCTTCAGGTCCTCCTCAGTTTCTGCAAGCAGGGTTGTGTCATCGGCCTAACGCAGATTGTTGATAGATCTTCCCACCAATCCTGATGCCACGTTTCTCCTCATAGAGCCCAGCCTCCCAGATAATCTGTTCTGCATATAGGTTGAAAAGGTATGGAGATAGGACACATCCCTGGCATACGCCCTTCCCAATTTTGAACCATGCAGTGTTCCCTTGCTATGTTATAATGACAGCCTCTTGGTCCAAGTATAGGTTTCGCATTAGAATGATCAAGTGTTCTGGGATTCCCATTCTTCTCAGAGTCAGCCAGTTTGTTATGATCCACACAGTCAAATGCCTTTGCATAGTCAATGAAACACAGATAGAAATTCCTCTGGTATTCCCTGCTTTCAGCTAAGATCCATCTAACCCAGGTCCAGCCCAGGGCCTCCCTGGGAGAAGGCGTCACCCGGATGGTGAACCCCTCTGGGGCACTGCTTGAATTGCTCTTGGATATACCTTCTAGCCCTCAAGGCATCAGAGACCCTGCCATTTCCCCTCACAATAAAGTGGTGACAGCACTGGATGCATGGACAGATGGAAAAAAAAAAAAAGATCCATCTAACATCAACTACAATATCCTAGTACTAAAATCCCTTCTAAACCCAGCCTGGACTTCTGGCAGTTCTCCGCTGATGTGTTATTCAAGTCGTTTTTGGATAATCTGCAGTAGAATCTTGCTTGCATGTGAAATCAATGAGACTGTTCTTTAGTTTCTACACTTTGTTGGGTCATCCTTCTTTGGAATGGCAACAAATATAGATCTCTTCCAGTCATTTGGCCAAGTCGTTGTTCTCCAGTTTTCTTGGCACAACTTGGTAAGCACATCCAGGGCAGCATCTGTTAGCTGAAATATGTCAATTGGTATACCATATATACCTGGGGCCTTTTTTTGCCATATCCTTCAAAGCAGCCTGAACCTTCTTTCATCACCAAAGGCTCTTGATCATATGTTGTTTCATGAAATTCTTCTGTGTCTGCCAATTCCTTTCGCTACAGTGACTCAGTATATTCTTTCCACCTTCTTTTAATACTTCCTGGATCATTTCATATTCTGCTGAAAGCATCCTTGATTATAGCAACTCGAGGTTTGAATGTGTTCTTCAGTTCCTTGAGCTTAAGAAATGCTGAGCGAGTTCAGCCCTTTCGATTTTCTGACTCCAACTCCTTGCACATTTCATTATAATAATTTACTTTGTCATCCCATGCTGCCTTTTGAAAGAAGAAAAGCCTTAACACATAGTCCTTTTTCTGATCACTAAAGAAAAAAAAACCCAAGTATTTATGACTCAGTGTAAACAAAAATAAAGAAGAGGCCTCTCTTCGGTTTATAATACATGTAACTTGAGGTTGTTAATAATTTCAGCTTGTTTGGCTCCATAATCAACCTTCTTGGCACCAGCAACCAGGAAATAAAAAGACAAACTGCACTGGGAAAATCCAAAGTCAGGGACATCTCCAGAGAACTGAGAAGCAACAATGTTAGTCTAGAGACTAAGATACACCTGATTCAGGCCATGGTCTTTGCAATTACTTGCTGTGCATCATGGGGCTGGACAATGACTAAGGATACAGAAGAATAATCAACGCTTTTGCATTGGCATGCTGGAAAAGAGTGTTTAATATACTATGAATGGCCAAACGAACAAACAGGTTTTTCTTTGAGATGTTGAAATGAAGTTTCTCCTTAGTGGCAAGGATTTTGAAGCTCTGTCTCATAAACTTTGGGAATGTGGCCAGAAGGGACCAGTCCTTAGAGATAGACATCATGCTTGGAAGGCTGGAAGGGCAACACAGAAGAGGAAGACCCCAGATGAGATGGACTGACACCGTAAGTGGGGAAATGGAGTTAAGTGTGTCTGAGTCAGTGAGGCTGGATCAGGATAAGAAAGGCTTCAGAGCTAGTGTACTGAGGGTTGCTCTGAGTCACAGGTGACTTGATGCCACATAACAACAACATACACAGAACATTTTTTTTGGTCTTTAAGGTAATTAATCGCTCAAATGCATTTATATTTTCAAAAAGTTAGCAACATTCCATCTTATTCGTCATGGCAAGTTTTGTTGTGTTTTTTTTTTTTTACTTTTTTAATGAGTCTTTTTCTACTGTAGGGACTTTGTTACTTCATCAAAAGCCCACTAGAGGCACATCAGATAAGCTATCGAATTACCGGACTAAATGGCTACCTTGCACAGTTTTCAAATACAAGGCTTTTACCCAATGATGCTTATATGGCAATTAATGTCACTTTAGTAATAAAACTAATATTAAAATGAAAATAAGCCAAAAGAAAAGCATTTACATCTAGTTGTGTTTGACATTTTTAGTCTATCATTCATAGCACGTTCAGATCCAATCCATCTAAAGGTGTTATCTATCTCTTTCTAGTATCTTCATCTACACAAGTCTCCTCACTCTATTAATGCTGACATCTTCTTTTTCATCTACATCTTTCAAGTGTTCCCTTGTTCTTAATCTTCTTTTCCTATTATTTCATGTACTAGAGACCCTTCGTTGTTGGTCCCAGCCACCTTTGTTTCTTTTCTTACTTTTATGTAATTCAAAATTAAAAATTTTGCCTATTATATGTCAGTTTTTTCAGTTCTAGAACCAGGTCTATACTTTCTTTGTTTTATTTTTACAATAACACCTAAAGTGAATGAACTAACAGTAAACTTAAAAGAATTAAACACAATTATGTCTCTATGGGTAGCAGGCAACTTGATGGCACATAACAACCACAACAACCACCACCACAACAACAACATAATAGAATGGAGATTGTCTATGTTTCTTATCCTGGAGAGAGAGAAACCAGGTTGCAACTTGGAGGCAAAGATTTTGAAGTTCTGTCTCATATACTATAAGCATGTGGTCAGGAGGGACCAATCTTTGGAGGAGGACATTATGCTTGAAAGGGTGGAGGGACAGCACAGGAGAGGAAAACCCTGGATGAGAAAGTTTGACACAGTAACTAGAGTAAAGGATGGATGGGTATTTCAGAGATCGTAAGACAGTCTCAGGATATAGTGTTCGGAGCTATTGTGTATAGGGTTGCTTTGAGTCGCAGGTCACTCAGTGGC